TCATTCATATGCAATAATACTGACCCTTACTCAAAGCGTCGACGTTTGTCTAGGGTTGTGTATTATATAGTCAGGCTTCTGGTTCATCATACTACTGGCATGCCAGTTGGTGGCCTCAAGCAGGCGGATAGTGCAGGCGATAAGCACCCCAAATCTATTTTCTAAGATAGGAACGCATGAATGGTGTGAAATATTGTCTCCATCCAGCAATGCAATGTCATTCCTTTTCATTCATGAGCCTTTTTGTTTACCTGTATGTAGATGGATTTACACTTTGATGGATGCCTGCATTGATCATTTCCCTGCTTTCTTGGCTCACAATTAATGTTTAAGTCTTTAAAGGGAGTGCTCCACATTTGTATGGGAATAAACTGAAATAAACTCCACTGAAATAGCCACCTTGGAGATCATTCGGCGCAGTTCACAGTTTTGCCCTCTCTATGACCTAAGACTCCCTGGTATCTGAACTACACGCACCTGAAGACGTGCAGGTGCCTGGGTCACTTTGAAATAGTCTCCGTGAGACTATTTTAAAGTGGCCCAGGCATCCATTACGCAATAACAACGTCATTAAAATCCTGTTATTCCATTAGCCATGCGACAATCAAGTCCAAGAAAAATATCATTGCCGAGTCACATAGCTTGCATTCGTGAGCACCATTTCCAGCTGAAACGGCCGTCAATTAGCTCTCAATCAAAGTTGGGCATGGTACGATGACGTCATCAAAAATTAGCTTCTAAGGAAAGCACTGACTAAAAAGAAAACTTGTGTAATCGACAACTGTCTTCTAAATCAGAGGTCAATGTTCAATGTCTAATGTTCACATATTTCGTAACTTTCAACAAGATCCAGTGGCTTTTAAAAGTTACACGTCATCATTGATAAAAACGGGCGTAAAGGAGACAATGTGAAAACTAGTAGAAAAATCTTAACACATCACACATCGGTCGAGGGATCATCTCGGGGAATCACACTATTGCATTCACATTGTGGCATCACACACAATCGAACTCGCACACGCATCCACTCATGTTCCAACATTCGCCTCACTCGGTAGAAACTCCATAAGCTGGCGCTTGAAGCGACCTAGACTAACGTTGCGGAGGTGAATAACGCGCTGTACGACGCCCTGGCTGCTGCTTTGAGTGCGACCTCTGAAGATGATGCTCGGATCGCGCCGTGTCAAGACCGGACTCCGTCCGAGCGGCCGCCACCCGAGATCCTGAGAGCCGAGACCTCCATGACATCATCACGGCGGGATTCCCGAGCAACGACACGAAGGAAGCTCAACTCTGCGGCCCTGCTGGTAAATCCGTGCCATGCTGGCCTTTTTTCTTTACCCAAGCCAGGGAAAGGTTACAAAGGAAAGGTTAGGGTTCGTTCATTCCGATGGATTACCTGATTTCGCATGGCATCCATACCCGTGTACTTTGTCCTTTTTGTCTCTCGTCTCATTGTTTAGATCGGTGTGGTCTAGCTCTGTGGCGCATGCGCTGCACGGATTCTTTTAACGAGCGCGTGGGTTACCCATTCCCTATTTTCCTATATATATATATATATATATATATATATATATATATATATATATATATATATATATATATATATTCTCCTTCCTGCTGCTTGACCTGGCACGATTACTGATGGATCAGCGCACGGTGTCCACGCTCGGTTGGCAAATGTCCCTCTCGTCTGGGGTGGGATCCGCTACGGACACCTCAGCCTCGGCCCGGAGGATTATGGCGTCGAACTTTCCGAAGCGGACGGGATCTCGGGACCGTTAGCCAGCAGTTGGAGCGAGATCGCCGGCCGTGGGTGCCGAGGTGTCGCGGCGAGATGCGCCGCGCCCGCTACATCTCGAGAGATCGTTCGCGACTCAGGCGCAGCACCGCGGCAAGGGTGGTAAAATCTGCCAACTTGGTGGATAAGGTCAGCGACAAGAACGTATGCATCCACGTGAAACTTGGTGCCAATAATTTTTTGGGCAGCAAATTTTGGTGACAGCCAAGACGAACAAATACAGCACACCGTGCCAAACAAAACATGAGGCCCCCATACGTAGATATTATGCATTCATGGTAATGCATTTCCCAACATAACACCAGCGAACGTTTCCGTAAATATATTTACCGTACTCTACGGCGCTATGGTATCTTTTCTAGGTTTCCGTGAAAATATTTACCGTATTCTACGGCACTATGGTATCTTTTCTAGGTTTCATTCCAACTCGGCGACAAATATATCGTGTGATGATTAGTTGGTCGGCGGACTCGGACACAGGTCGGTGAACTCGGTCACAGGTCGGCGACACATCAGTGTTTTTCCACTGTCCGTGCGGTCGGCCACTTGGCTGTTTTAGCAGCCGACCCCCAGTTTCCCGAACTGGTCAGTGTAATATTCTGAAAAATCTAGACTTGGAGATTCATCTGGCCACAAGAGCATGTTTTAAAGCGTCGCGATGCGAGCGATATGAGGTGGGCGGTAACTTTCAATGGGCTGCAACTTTGCAGGCGGGATTTGGATTACAGTGTCATGAATGCCTGCCTAGGGCTTAATCTTTGACCTTTCTTATATCGTTGGCGGTGCCCTGATTCAGCATCTTGCTTTCAACGACGAGAGACATTGAAAGGTCAAGGTAAGTCGGTGGGATGATTCGATCAAGGTAGAAATTGACCAGTGATTATCCAAGCCGTCTTTTAAAGACGCCCAAGAGGCTGTTGACTACCAGAAGCGGTCAGAAGCGACCAGGCTTTTTCCCTTAGAAAAGAATCGTGAGTTTGATGTCGAAGTCTGATGACATTCCTCATGAAATGAATAACAAGAGTTTGATGGCTTTGATGGCCTGCGGCCACGCTGTGCCGTGGTCACTACACAAGTGACGTCATCGCTTTGCATAGAGCATGTGAAGGTCTGGCTTATGGCGAAGTCCCCGCGCAGCAGTCCCCAGGTGCCGATCACCGAAAGTAGCCTTGAGCACTGCTGGTTTACAGAAAGCCTTCTCTTTAAGCCTTGCGACGATGACTCCCAGCCGGCGACCGGTTGCTGGGCAGTGCGCGATTTTGCACCAGCGCCATCTACAGATCATCGTGTGTCTGAAGCTGCCTGTTAGTCGGCGCGGGCATGGCGTGTTGAAACGAAGACGTTCATCAGTTCAGCTCCGCAATGGAAAGGACTCTTAAACAGGTAACTAGCGGAAGATTGAAAGCGTGATTTGCACTCGGAATGGTTCCATTTATCTTGTGATCTTTCAACTTTCATATCATCAACTTTCGATGTCATGCACGCATTCAACATGTTCATTTATACGATCGCATTCAACTAATTCCAGGATGACTGGCGCTACAAAGTATCCTGACACACCTGCCCTAGACAATGGGGTAGTCCAATCACTAAAGCAGTCGTCTTACGCCCTCGGGACTTGACGGGACCTCACGTTTAAACTGGATTTACGACTGGATTTGCCGACCTTGACCGCGAAAAAAACAGCGAAGGAGTTCGACATCCAGGGCAGCGAAGTACGCGACAAAATTCCAACCGGCGGCAGGCAGTACTGGGGGGTGGCGTCCAAAATTTGGGCCTCCTGGAGACCATCTGCCATTATGGAAAAGAGGTATGCGCTTTCGGATAATGCCATTAAGACCTAGTCATAATGACAATACTGTCCACCACACCTCAGGCCTGCTCCAAACCTGGCGGGACATGTGTTGCCTCGTGGGCGCCTTTTGTTGGGCCCCAGCAATTGGTATATGCATGTTTAAACTGGGTTTCTAGGCCGCCTGAAGAGGAAAAAACAATATATTATGTTCCCAGTTGGGCTCAGCTTCAGAAGACAACCTTAGGAAGACCGTTTCATGCTTGGCAGATCCAAAGGTACAATAAATTTCAAGCTCCAGCTTAACGATTTTCCGCCGTTTGAAATGGACCGAAGATTTTTCTGGTCTGATCGATCGCCCAACTTGAACATGCGTGCGCGATCCTCCAGATGAACGGAAAGGTGCGTGATATGACAGAAAATTGACCAAATGTAGAAGATGTGCGCCGATTAGAGGGAAACACTTGTTCACTGCATATAGTGGGGATGCTGGAAATTTGCGCTAAAAATGCGCTACCGCCGCCTGCGCAGCAATGCTTGGGCCAACGGTAGCGAAGTGAGCACTGAGTGGGTCCGCCCGGGCGCACGTGTCGTAGTAGGGTGTGTCACGCCCTCCCGCCTGCTGCAGTCCGAGTTGCTTGAGGCGGCTTCAGAAATCTCGCCCGTCCTGTCGGCAGACCAGTGCATAGGTACGAGCGTCCGTGGGAGTGATCGGTCCCTTCACTCTGTTACGGCACCGCTGGTACACGCGACGCGCCTCTGCGGTACAGCAGCGCCCCCAGGTCTTACGGGTGCAGTCGCGCTCCTAAATAACTGCGGAAACTTCGGTATCTTCAGGCAGACATGGCACCCGGACTGGCGTGACGTCACGGTGGTGGTCGGGCAGTGAGTGTCGATTGCGAATTTCGAAAGTTTCATAAATGCGGCCACATTGTCATTGGCGGTGCCAGCGACGTGGAGCGGCCCCCAATCAGCGCGTAGCTGACTCAGGTTGAGCGCGTCCCAGTCCCAGAATGATCGCAACCACGTCAAGGATAGTTCAGGGATACTTTAAAAGGAAAGAAAAGTTACAACAAGATAAGACCGCAACTTTTTGCAGTCTCGGATATCAAGAGACAGCTATTGAAAAGACCCCCCCCCCCCCCCCCACCCCATCATCATAGCATCTTTTCTTCCTTGCAGGTGTTGGCCTTGGTGGTCGTGGGTCAGCTGATGCTGGCCATGGGCTTGAACTTCGGCATGCACAGCGTCACCCTCATCCAGGTGCCGGACGATCCTGACGGCTTTCTCAGCGCCGACCAGCTCAATTGGTCGATCGCCGCCACAACGCTGGGCGCCGTGCTGGGCGGCCTGCTGGGCGCGCTGGTGGCGCCCGCGTTAGGCGCGCGGCGCCTGCTGCTGCTCACCATGCCGCTGTACGCGCTCGGTTCGCTGGCGGTCGGCCTCGGCGACCACTTCGGCTGGACGTTGAGCGGCCGGGTGGCCATGTTCGTCGCGCTCGGCATACCCGAGGGCAGCGTGCGTGGTTATATGTCTGAGATTGTGCCGCCCACGCGCCGTGCCCTCTTTAGCGCCCTTTTGAGCTTCATGCTGTACCTGGGCCAGGTGTTGGTTCTGGCTGTGGCACCGCTGCTGCACTGGCAGGTGCTGTTCATCGCGGTAGGCGTGGTGCCGGCCGCGCTTTGCCTCTCCGGTCTCCTCTTCCTGCCCAACTCGGCCAAGTGGCTGCTCTCACGCGGCCACTCGGAGGAGGAAGCCATGCGCTCCATCCAGTTCTTCCGTGGCACGCAGGTGGACGCCGCTGCTGAGGTACGCAGTATCCACGATTCACTGCAGCACGCACATGCGGACGGCGCCGCACTGCCCGTGTGGACGCTGCTGCGTCAGCCAGGCACGTGGCGCCCGCTGCTACTGGCCTCCATCCAGATGGTACAGTTCGCTTGGTGCGGCGGCGCCACGCTGTTGCTCATCACCGCCTTCGTGCTGGATCCGGTGCAGATTTCACTAAGCGAGTACCAGCGAGCCACGCTACCGGCCGCGTTCGCTGCGCTCGTCTGCGTGCCCGGCGGCATCATCATCGAAAGATACGGCCGGCTACCGGTACTGCGTCTGGGAGGCGTGCTCTCTGCCATTGGCTGCGCCGCTGTCGCCGCGTATTTCTTCCTGGCCGCGGAACCCCAGGAGCGTCTCGGCTGGATTGTGCTGGCGGGCGCTGGGCTGACGCAAGTGGCCTTTGTCGGCATGCTCGCCAACGTCGCATTCAACTACGTCACCGAGTTGCTGCCCAACAAAACGCGCACCTCGGGCGCGAACATTGTCCTCGTTGTGATGAATTTGTGTCTATTTGCGCTGCTAAAAATGTACCCACTAATCAGAGATGGGATTGGTCTGGGTGGAGGCTTCGTCATCCACTCGCTGGTAAGCCTGTGTCATGTGTTCTTTGCCACATTTTGCCTAAAGGAAACCAAGGGTCTTTCGCTGGAACAGATTCAGCATCTGTTTTAGAACGTTGAAAAGGTAGCTGAGTTGCCGCCACCTCGTGCCCCTCAGTCACCGCCAGGTTATAAACCACTGATGTCCTGTGTTGATACACCGAAATGAAATAATGCTTCCGACTCCATCAGCGCGTCAATGACCATGGGGATTTAGAATCGGTTTGTAATAATGCGATTTTCATTACCTCATAGCCACGTTGCGATGGAATGTACCTAAATTTCCTGAGAGTGTTTATCCCATAAGCTCATGTTCATGTTTCTACGATAGCAGAGCGTGTATGAAAAGACCGAGAGATCTCATGTCTGTATGCAACCTGAGGACGTTACGCGTGCGTTCTTGTCGATCATTCATGACGCACTAAATTTCGTCAGATTTGGTGAATTCGTCGTGCTTGACAGCCATAAGCAGGAGTTCGCTTTCTAATTTGTTTCCAAACATAGTGTGAAATAATTTGATACACAAATGTACACGTCCTCGCCAATTCGTCAGATGTCACGTGCTCTGTGCTCTTGTTAGCCTGTTATATCAGCCTGCAGGAACAACGTTACATCCTGGTTGTGGAACTAAATTTTCAAGTCTATGATGTCTGTTCTCGCGACTGCGCAGCCAGCCGCCAACAGCTGAACAGTCTACAACACTTTAAGGCGTCATTACGCATCCCGTTTACACGCAGCATAATGTGTTTTTCTGGTGGAAACTAACAAAAAGAGAAGGCACGAACTTGTACATAACAACTGATAATCGTGTAGGCGAAACGCGAAATTCCGGGGAAAGCATGCATGATGCTTCCAGTTATGTGCTATTGTTTCAGCCGTGATTGCCTCGTTGCAATACAATTCGGCGAGTGTGCGTCTTTCTTTTCTTATCCTCAAGCGTCGTCTTCTGTCAAGGAAGATCCGTTCTCGTATTACCTGCGCAATGCGGTATATTTCCAGAAAGCCAATCTACCTGTAGATGGCGGACTACTGAAAACACTGGTTGCACTAACGAGACAGACCGATGGCTCCGTGAGAAAGACTTCTACAAAAAACATTTGTTTTTAATTGTTTTGAATTATTTCCATAGGTTCTAGAAGATACAGACGCAAATACGCTTATGCTCTACGTGATATGGCATATTTTGCATCTACTGAAACAGACTGCCTTCTCCGAAGAAATCAGTGTCTCTAAGTGTCAAAAAGTTTCAGTGTCATGTAGCCCGAAGCTGCCCAGATTTTGTCACCACGCATCTTGCCAGCGTATTTTAAACGTCACGCAGCACATATCCTAGACCGCTATCGGAGGACAGCTAAGGCTGCTCGGACTGGTAGCTCTTAATCAAGCCTACCCATTCTGGTGTGATTCTGCATTACAAATCTACGCACCCAACTTCCACTCAGCACAATATGATTCGTAGCCTTTTCCATAGCGCATTTCATGAACAATTCAGGTAGTCAAAAAGGAAAAAAGAGTATAAACAAAATATGGACTTTGCTGCTTGGCAATGGACATTCTCCACTTCTTTTCGGTAAAATTTTGAATGATGATGATGATGATGATTTGGTGTTTTAGGGCGCATGGACTGCTGCAGGTCATGCAGCACCCATAACTATCAATTTATGCAGAACTGCCAATCAGGCAAGTACATCGATCAAGTCATCATATAAAGCCTTGATGATCAGGCCTAGTATCATGATGAAAAGATGACTGGGAAATCTCTAGCGCGAAGAAACTGGAGCACTTTACCAAAGTCCACAGCGTGCGAATAATCCCCTAAAAATTCACATAGTGTGCGATTCAGGACGTGGTGTCCGAAAACTGCGCTCTCGTTGCAGTGAGGTGACGGCAAGCGACCAGTATATGATGCACAGTCAGCGGGTCAGAGTATCGACGGCAGCATGGTTTGTTGCCAGCCAATAACAGGTGACGGTGCGCAACATATGTGTGGCCTATCTGCAACCGGCGAAGAGCAAACTTTTTCTCTCCGATTGTCCCGAAAACACGACTGTCATAGTCCAATACGGGGGTTTCACGGACTGCAGCTTGTTGGCGCTCACCGAGTTCCAGTGGAACTGCCATCGCCTCTGCATAAGCGACGACACTTCGGGGTACATGTCTTGAGCTGGTAGTGGTGTTAAAGGAATGCGTGTCCCTGTCGTAGCGCGCTTTGCCGCCGTGTCAGCAAGATCATTACCGCAGATTCCAACGTGACTTGGGATCCAGCACGGTGTGACCGTTTTTCCTCCTCGATCCAGTGAGATGAGACGCGATTGAATGTCCTGGACCAGTGGATTCAACGAGGAGAAGCCACCAACAGCCAGGAGGCTGCTCAAGGACTCGGAAAGAATCAAATGCAAATTGCTATCGTCCACTTCAATAAAACTGAGAGCTTTGCTAATGGCTATAAGCTCGGATGTGAAGACCGACGCGTTTACAGGCAGTGTGAATGACAGAGTTGTGGATATGCACACAAAAGCGCACCCTTCACCTGCATTCGTCTTCGAACTATCTGTATAAGTCATCAGGAACCCGTCAAAGTAGGCTATGTGCTGTAAGGCTGCGCCTTTAAGTTCCGTCATGAGAACGCGTTGCTTTTGCATGTTTGATAGCGAAACATCCACTGTTGGCGATGCTAGCTCCCAAGGAGCAGTCTTCATGGGTTTAGGTCTGATAACACGTCGTAGGTTGAAGACGCTTGCATCGAAAAGTTCTATCATTCGTACACAAAAGGGAGAAGTTTGTGGAGGCCGTTGACGTAGAAAAAGCCTTCGTAAGTCATGCGAAAACATTGCTTTGTAGGGTGGGATGATCTGGGAACTGCGCCAGCTTGCACGTATAGCGCAGCCCCAGCATCTGCCTTCGCAATGCTAGCGGGTGCTCCTGAGCCTCCACCAGAAGACTATCTATGGGCGATGTTTGAAAAGCCCCTGCTGCAATAGGTAGTGCGGCGTGATGCACCGTGTTCAAAGTACTTTTGATCAGGTCTGAAGAACCGTCATAGATAAAACAGTCGTAATCAAGTTTTGAACGAATCAGGGAACGATATAGAAGTAACAGTGCCCTCTTATCAGCATCTTATGATGTACGTCTTACGCACCTTAGAATGTTCAGAGATTTTAAACATTTGTCGCGGTGGTTTCTTGTATGCTCACGGTATGTTAGGCGTCGGTCAAATCGTATACCGAGAAATTCCACGGTACTGTCATTGGCGACGCGCTGCCCATACAGCTTGATTTCCATTTCAGGACAGTGACAGCGACGACGACAGAAATGGACTACAGTTGTCTTCGATGTGGAAAAGCGGAAACCATCGAGCACACTCCACTTCTCCAGACGTGTAACATCCAGCTGCATCTGTCGCTCCATCGTGCGAGTGGTCGACGAGCTACACCAGATAGCGAGGTCGTCTACGAACAGAGAACGGCTGATTCCATGTGGAAGCGTGCCCCCTATGTCGTTAATCATCACGGCGAAAGGAATGATACTTAATAAGCTGCCCTGAGGCACACCATTATCCTGCGGATACCTGTCGGAGTGATGAGAACCAACACGCACCCGAAAGGATCTGTCATTCAAACGTTTTGTAAAAGCTTTCCCATGTGACCGCGAAGGCCACAATCGAGCAACTTCATCAAAATTCCATGTCTCCATGTGGTATCGTATGCTTTTTCTATGTCAAAAAATGGCGCCGGTATGATGTTTGTTTATAAAACCGGCTCGCATTGCGGTATCAAGAGTTAAGATGTGGTCAATCGTGCTCCTGTTCTTACGGAATCCGCACTGAGCATTCGTGAAAAAGTTTTGACGTTCTCATGTCCGCGAGAGCCGCACATTCACCGTTCTTTCCATGAGCTTACAAAGCGAAGATGTGAGAGCGATCGGGTGATAGTCAAGGGCGTTCGTTCCACTTTTCCGGGGCTTTAAAATAGGCGCTACTATGGACTTCCGCCAGGCTGGCGGCACGTTACCTGACACCCATGTACAGTTGAAAATTGCCAGCAGTGCTCGTAGTATACGGGGAGGAAAATGCCGTACCATATCATTGTGGATGATGTCGGACCCCTTCGCTACACTACGCAGCGAGCGAATGGCCGCTTCAAGTTCCACCACAGTGAGACGCTTGTTGTACATCAGGATGTCCCCTGTATAAAAATTAACTTGCGAAGTTTCACATCGCGCCCGATGCCGCAAAAACCGTAGATCGCAGGTGTCATTTCGGCAACGGTCTGACAAGGCTTCCCCAATGGCTTCCGCGACATCACTTGGGTGAGTGATGTCTTGACTTCCCACTTGCAGTACGGGAAAGGAAGCTGGTAGATGCAGTCTGGCGATTCTTTTAATGCGGCCCCACACATGTGACATCGGCGTGTGCCGATTCATTGAGTTGACGTAGGTGCGCCATGATGCACGTTTCGCCTTTTGTATAGTGCGGCGCGCGGCCGTGCGTACTTGCCTAAAAGCCATGGGGTTTAATGTGCTGCTGTGCCGGTTAAAAGCCCTAAAAGCTCTCCGACGTGCACGAATAGCGTCGCGACACTCGTCGCTCCACCAAAGTACAGGGGTGTGACGAGGGCATCCAGAGGTGCGCGGAATGCATCCTTTCGCCGCACCCAAAACGAGAGACGTAAATTCCTCCGTAGTCGGATTTGCAGAGTCGATATCGCTAGAAAAGGTTTCCTCCAGGCGGGTTTCAAATCCACTCCAATCCGCATTTTTGAAATTCCAACGTTGAGGTCGAGTACCAAGAACAGCACCACCACGGTACCGAACCCAGACCGGAAAATGGTCACTTCCAAGGGGGTACTCTGAAGCATCCCAGGTGAAGTTTGGTACCAATTGCGGACTGCAAAGGCACTGACGATCGTCCTGATGGCAATGTTAAATGCCCTGTATTTAAAACACACAAACCTTCGTCACGCATGAAAGCCTCACATAGCCTACCGCGAGTGTTCGCGGAAGCACACACCACACAGTGTGATGTGCATTAAAATCGTCTAAAACGAGTAGAGGGGGAACAAGCTGAGAGACTAACTCTCGTAGTCCTCCAGATGGAATGACACCCCAGGTGGCAAGCAGAGAGAGCGGACAGTTATGGTGCGACGGTTGAATTTCACCGTTGCTGCGACAGCTTGCAAGTCTGTTCTTAACACCAGACGCCGGGTAAGTACAGTTTGGTGCACAGCCAACAGAACGTCACCGTAAGCAATGTTGTCTGTTGGCATGTCAGCGCGGAAGGTAGTGTACCCTCTTCAGGCTGAAGGCCGCATCAGGCGCCAACATAGTCTCCTGGAGACACACGGCTACCGGGCAGTGCGCGCTTAAAACTGTCTGCAAGTCCTGGGTGCTTGACCTTACCCCTCTACAGTTTCACTGTAAAACTGACTGAACGAAGAGGCTTTAAAAGCACTGTAAGGTTTTGAAAGAACTCAGCAGCGCTAGAGCCTGGCCCATGGTTGTTGGTGCTGTCTTCAGAACCCAAAGAGATCTGGCGGATCCTGGGCCGGATCCGGGGACTACCGCTATCTGTTGGCGAAATCGACCCCGGCGGTCTACGCTTTTCCGGGCGCCCGTCCTAAACTGGGCCGGCGCCGGCGACGCCGTGGTCCTAGGTGGCGCTGGTGGCGGAGGACCATAGACGGGTCTCTTTGCGAGTAGCATGAGGGAGCTTTCACACGCTTTCGAGGGGGAGGGACTACCTCTCCCGTGGGAGCAGGCCCGGGGCCCGCACCCGACAGCTGACTGGCTGCGTTCGCTCTCTCCTGCTCCTGAAGGCGTGCACGCTTTGTCTCGTATCGATGACTCAGCCAGCACTCCCTTGGATTCCAGGACAACAAAAAGGGACTGCCACAAGCAAGCCAAAACACATAAAATGAAAGCAACAGCGAAAAATACCCGCTGCGACAGCAGACATCGTCGTGACGAATGGACTCGTCTGGCACGAATGGACTCGTCGAATGGACTCGTCTCATGCCCGACCCACGCGCGTCCGTGGTCTCACGTCCGCACGTGGCTTTAGTGAGTTCGAATCCCACGCGCTCGGCGTGTGGCGCGACCCCGCAACTTGCCGGCGGGTCACGAGCGCTGGACTTCTTTGTCCGTCCACGCCGCACGGTGCCGTCCTCTGCCGGCGGGGCGCGGGTGCTCGCGCCGCCTGGCGCACAGTCGGGTGCTGCCGTCTGCCGGGATTGCCGATGTCGACTGGTAGATGGCGTCTGTGTCTAGCTAACCTCAAGCGGGAGCTGGTTCCATCTGCTCGTAGTTGATGGAATATAGGATATTTCGTGTGTTGAGGCTCTGTTCGGTGATAATGTGAGTGTCATTGCATTGCGTAGTGGGCGTCCTGCTGCAAATGCTCGTGTGTCAGGTAGAAGTGCAGTGACGTTCGTTGGCAGTAGATGTTGGTTGTGTATGGGGGTGTGAAACAGCCTCAGTTTGTACATGTTTCTTCGTGATTTGAGAGTGTTCCATCCCAACTCGTCAACAGTGCGCGAGTTGTGTGTTCTGTGGAGTGCACCGGTGGATTAGTCTTGCTGCTCTGTATTGTAATCTGTCAAGTATAAGGGAGTCGCTGACTGTCAAAATTGATTTTTGGTCCTAGGGGCGTTTGAGGTGCTAGGGGCCATTGTTATCCTGCTGGTGGTGTTTGACCGACATAGAAGCCGTGTTCGACTCATGTGACCCCCCAACTGGGGCGAATGATCCTCTGACTGGTATCTGAGGGCCCTGTCCATGCGGGTCGGTCCCTTTGATATGACCTATGTTCGGCCCTTCCGGCTCTTCAAGTCCTCAAATCGGGCCTTTGAACGTCGGTTCCCAGGAGCCCTTTGGGACACATAGGAACTAGATGGGGGGGGGGGGGGGGGCACGTGTCCGCTGTGCCCCATTTCCGTCTACGCTACTGGTTGCATGGCCTCGAATAAATACGTG